AAAGTAGCGGAATCAATCCGAGTTGCTCATGGATTATGAAAGCTACAGAGAAGCCATGGATGGGACAAAAAGCATGTGTGTGTGTGCTCGCGTGTGTTTGTATGCCTTATGCTGTGGGGACTCATGTTGACACAGTAACACTGCAAGGACCTTTATGAGGTCAAAACAGAATTCCCATAACATAAATCAGTGAACCTTAGTTTGAAGACTTTAAGGTTTCAGGTTTGGGATGATCCAGGAAATTAACATCCTCTGAAGTGATGGGAACATTTACAAAACAAAGGGACTTTCTCATATTTCATACTTTAAGTTTAATTTCCTCATGTTTTCATTTGAATTGTCAGCTTTCATACCTCTCTCTCTCTCTCTCTCTCTCTCTCTCTCTCACACACACACACACACACACACACACACACACACACACACACACACACACACAACCCCGTTCAGCTATCTTAGTGAGGACCCTCATTGACATAATGCTTTCCCTGGCCCCTTACCCTAACCCTAACCATTAAAAATGAATGCCTAACCCCTTACCCTAAACCTAACCATAACCTAATTGTAACCCTGACACTAAAACCACATTTTGAGCCTCAAAAATGCCTTTAAATGCCTTCAAAAATGTGAGGACCGGGTTGTGTGTCCTCACAAGTTACTGCTGGTTCTCACAAGTGTAGTAGAATGAAGATGTCGGTCCTCACAAAGATAGATATACAGGAACACACACACACACACACATATATTCTGTCTTTATGAGGACACCCATGGACTCCTTTTCCCTTTATTATGATAAGTAACCACCAAAACCTGTCTCTACTCTATCTTAGACCCTAAAACCACCTAAAAACCAGGTCTGTTCTCACTTTCTAGGCCCTCACAAAGACAGATGTGCACACACCTTGTCTGTCTTAAAGACACTGGATGGACTATTTCTATGTTTTCCTCCCTTTTTCCTCTCAAAGCCAGTATTCTGCTCTAACATGGCCTTTAACTGTAAGTTTATTTGATTGATGGAGAGTTAATGTGACATTTACGAGGCTAGATTTAGAAAACAAACCTACACTAACCGTTTCCTTTTAGGGTAAGGACACAGAGAGAGATTAAGTAGACTTTTGAAAAAGTCTTAATAACATCCACACAGTTACTAAATGTTGAGTTCTGCAGATGAATCTATATTAACAGCATGCCATGTGAGTCAATCCCCACTGATAAAAAAAAAAGGTAAAGTGAATCATGGAGGGTGGGAAATGTAGTATACAACCAGCCATACAGGATGATGCCAAAGACATAACAGGATTAACCTCCTGAGGAGTCCCCCAGGACAAAAATGTGCTTTTTAGCCTCTGTTGACCCCCATTGTAACCTCCAAGACAGTTTCATTATTACTCCAAACAACACTGAAATGACCAAGCTGCTTTCCTTTCTTTTATAAAAAAAGAGATTCATATTGATGCATGACAGAGATCTAAAAAGTAAAACTCATATTTTCTAGTCTAAACTGCATACTACTTTAAGTGCCCTAAAGCGGCTGATTTCGTGCTACATCAGTGAAACTGAATTGCACAATTGAATTCAACTTTAGAATCCAATAAAACACTGGTGCACTTTTATTTCTGACCTAAAACTTTAAAACGGCGAAAAAGGATTACGTAAAATGAAAAAGAATAATGTCCCAACATAATAGATCCTCCTATTTTCATAATAATTTATCCAGCTGCTTCTGAATTCTTCATTGTGAAGCCTTGACATACTCACAACATAGCTTCTAATAATTGTGTTAAGTACTGGAAGAATGAAATATGGGAATTTCACTCACCAAACCTGAAGCAGTGAGTTTAAATAGCTTAGGTCAGGCCTGATAACTCTATTTAAAAAACAAATACAAAATAAAGATTTCTGTGATTCTGTAAGGTTTCATATTTTGTAAGGAGTGAGCCTGAAGTGGCTGCTAAAAAGCATTTTTGTTTAGGTGTGTTCAAGGTTGCTGTTTCAGGGAGGCAGACAACCATTTATGTGATGGACTATTTAGAATCTCTAAGTACCCAGATGTGTTTGTGGAAAACCTGGAAAAAAATGAAAAAGTGAGAACAATGTAAACTAAAACCACAAAGGTTTTTGAGCTCTTCTATAACATTATAAAACTTCTTAAAATTTGCTGCTAATGTTATATGAGTTTTGTGCACTTTAATTTCTGATAGATTTGAGTTTCCTTTGTTTTGTCACTCTAACTGGAACTATGAGCTTTGACCTCAAGCTCACCTTTTATTTGTCCTGGTCCTGCATTTAGCTCATTTGACCTCATAATTCGTAATAGTTAGCAGAGTTTAAAAAAAAGAAATTAATTTAAGTGTGCCTAGTTTTGTACCAGAGTGCATTATCTATCACCTCATGCTACCAGTGGTGACAATGACCCCAACCAAATGCAAAAGTGGAAGTGTTGTTAATTTCATTAACAACAAAGCAGCTGAAAATGATTAACAACTCCCTCTGTTACTTAACTGACAGAAGTTTCTTACTCTGATTTTGTTGAGCGATGTATAAACGCATATAAACCTCTGACTGGTTTCATTGCAGCAAGAAAACGTGCGGAAAGAAACATTCAGACAAATTAACCAAACAAGAAAATGCCTAAACATGTTCATCGCAGCAGTTATTTGGGTTTTGCTTGGGGTGAAGGAAAAAAAACAAACCATCCATCAGCAACCATAACTGCACAATTTCCAGGGTTTGACCATAAGTGTGTGGATGTGCAGTCTTGTTCAGCATTGGTTAGAGTTGGCAGCCTGAGCTGCTGGCAAAGAAACACGAGACGGAAACCCAGAAGAGAAATTTAGGGCAAAGTTACAAATATTTCTTCTTTGCTGGAGTCCATAGAAAGCAAAGAGTCAGTGAAACAGTAGCATATGGAACTCATCCATCTTTCCAAGTAAGATAGAGCACCCTGGAACCTCCTACAGTTCTCATGTGTTTGTGCAAAAAAGGAGCACCACACATATGTTTTTTTTTTGCCCCTCTCCAATATGTACCCATTGCTTTTACCCCTTCTGTTTCCCACATTGCTCTTTCAAAGGGCCTTCACTTTACTGTCAGCTGCTGGCACATGAACACGTTGTAGAATCAGTCTGGGCATGTGCTGAAAAATGAGAACCAAAACCGTTACTGTATGTTCAGTATCCTCCTCGAGCCTGTTCAGCATAAGCCTTTATGGCCTAAATAGGAAAATGTCCTGAAGAACACAAACAAGCAAGATTTGTTCAAAATGTCCCATCAACCTCTCTGTTTAGTCTGGTGACTCAGGATGACAAACTTGACAGATTCTTCTGTATTTGACCTCAATGGCAAACCAAACACTCTGGTTAGAACCAAGTAAAAGCTGCTTGGAGCTTAAATTCCATATTTGCTTTTTGATAAAATATATAATTTCCTCTGCATATTTGGAAGTAGCTGAATGCTCGTGATATTTTGTGCATAAAGGGGCAATATGATACACATGTAATATGACTCTCCAAAGCTTCTGGAGTTGCTCAAATAAAGCCACTTTAAAGAACTGCAGTTCCTCTTCTGCCCACTAGAGGCTGACTCAGAAAGTGAGTCAACATCAACAGTCTTCCATGCTACAATGGCCGACTTCACAGCACTGAAAAACATGGTTATAGGCTAACAACGCATAACAACTCTGAGGAGTGTGAATTTTTAGTTTATTGTAGTTTATTTCTGCCATTTTTGTTTACATATCCTCACTCCTGCCGTTAGAAAATCAAGATAGCAATAACCACAAAGGTAAACTGAAGACTACATAATGGCCAATATCGTTTGACTTCTGATCTTACAAACAGAAGTCCGGTTGTGTAGAAGTCCAAAGGGAAAAGCATTTCCTGATTGGCCAGACCTAAGTAGAAATTTTAGATTATCCAAAAATACTTAATAACTTGAAATTTTAAGTTCTTTATTTTAAGTTACTTTCTCAGGAGTTCAAGTTAGCAAATCCAAATTTAACCAAAAACTTTGACTTGTGGACCACTAAACGTTTTTGTTTGTTTTTCTCTGGCACATGTTTTTGAACCCTTGGCTCTTTTGATCTATGACCTCAGTATACACTTTCGTGAGAACGATAATGCAAATGTCAGTTCTCATTAAATACACTATAAAGTTAATTTTTCACCTCATGGTCCCATTTAGAGACAAGAAAATGAAAGAGAGAATGTTGTCATTGGCTCATAATGTCTGTTTTCAAAAAATAAGATTGCAGGAGTAAAAGCAATCCGCTTGAGTCTTTCATCCACAAGCTAATGAGTGATGTCAACAGCCACTGGCTATGTGCACATGCAGTTTATGGGAGAACACTACTTTATGTCAGCTTCTACATTTCAGTTTGGCAAAGGTGAGTCATCCCAGCCATGCTAATCATTGCAGTCAATGAACCCAGTCTTATCTTGTGTGATTCTGTTGTCAATGTATATGATAAAGTCCTCCCCTTCTCCACATGTCCTGCATTTGTCGATTTTGACTAATAGTTAAACTTTTGAGCTGATGGATGCAACATACACATGTTGCATGTATAGATGGATAATGTATGCATTCCATCCATACATAATCTCCCAGTTAGGTTGTGGTGAAAGCAGGCTCCACTTCCTCCACTTTCCACTTCCTCTTGAGAGGATCCAATGGCTATGGAAGCTTGTTTCTGCCACTGAAAACAAAACATGTTCTGCTATTGAGAAGTCTGAATTTGGGGTTAATATCTGAAATTTCTGACAAAGTTATTAGACTCAAATTCTGAGCTGACTCAAAATTGCCCAGCTTTCCATAGAGCTGTGAAAGACCAACCACATGTGTATTTACCTACATCACATTAAAATATTTCCTCCTCCCCTTAATCATTCAGTATAAGATGATCAAAAACAATAATGGATCCAGACTAATTGCACAAATGTGACTGTTTCCCAAATATGTAGAGACCAACCAGACCACGATAAAAAGTCTCAGCTTACCAACATCTAATCCGCCCACCCGACAGAACCAAATGTATTTGGGGGTTCTTGTTCTGCTGACCACCGTGGGAAAGCACTCCATCAGCCACAGGAGCTACGAAGACATAAACCAGCTGTCCATGCATTAATCAGTGTGTGTGTATGTTGCATCCTTCTGTTAACTTTAGGAGGCGGCAGGAGGTTGAGGTCATGTCTGGGATACAGTCAAGATCCTGAAACCAGAAAGAAAATGTAGACAATTTATAAAGAGAGTAGCAGCGCGTAGATAGTAAAACTAAACACGAGGAACACAATAAAAATGAGCACTAGAGAAGAGAGAAAAAAATATCAGCAATGGCTGACAGGAAAACAGGGAGGAACACGTCAGCTGTTGAAAGAAGACAAAGTCCAAGAGATAAAAGAAGAGACAAGAGCACAAAAATCAGCTTGTTTGTCCAGACATGAAATAAATCAGCTTTTATCACAAGACAAGATAGGAAACATTCAGCACAGCAACATCACAGGAAGGAATGAGTGACCTTTGAGGTCATTTAGCTGTAAAAGGTTACAATGCTTTTAGAGGATAAAAAAGGATAAAAATCCTCCATAAAAATGTTCATTGATTCATTGTATATGGTCAATCATATTAGTGAATAGTATTCAGGAGGCAAACTCTTTGCCTTCAGTCTACCATGAAGGTGATGATGAGGACTGAAGACCTCTACCTCAGATCCATCTACGAGTGGGTTTTACTCAGAGGGTTCTGTCAGAGTCGTCACATAGCCTCCATCCTCAGTACGACCTCTTGTTTTTCCAGTCTTAAAATCTCGGTTTTTTTCAGTTTTTTTAAAATATATATTATTGATAATTTGTGACTTGAGTCCATGAAATTGTATCATAGTCACGTCCTCTCCCGCCTCTTCCTATTAGGCCGAACTGAACGTGGAGAATATCAAACAAAATCAGCAAAATGTAATCTGATTTTTGAAAACTGCGACATATGGATCAGTCATAGACAGGAGATAGGAGAATAGTTAATCTTTTCAGTCCAATGTTAAGAAGTGCGTTTAAACTATAATACTCTGAAACCTGAGAACGATGATCCTTTTTCTGATGAAGTCAGCATGCTTGATAACCACCTGCTGGACTAGGCTGCAGGAAAACCCACTTTAACATCATAGAAACATAAAAATAATTGAATCCTGCAACTACTGGATTCTGCAACACTAAAATGTGAACACTCATATACAAACAGGTCATACACTGCCTCTTTTTGTGTTACACACCAGCCCTAATGTTTTGGCATCTTCCCTCATTCTCTGGCTAAAGGAAAATAAAGAGAGTTAATGCATGAACAGGATCTGAGCTCTGTTCTCTATTTTTAGCCAGAGCTCCCAGTGGGTGACCCATTTAGCCTCCCATTTCCCTTCTTCCAGCCTGCCACTTTTCTCACTCGTGTCCCCCCTTCTTGCAGCATTTCTGGAGACTGAGCAGAACATTTAAAGGCCAACAGCAGCAACAGAGGCTAGTAAACAGAAGAACGCTGCTTGTTGAGGCTATACACATCTTTCCTTTGAACTTTTTAAAAGGATTCCAGCTGTGACATGGTGTCTTTATCAGTAGTTTGTTTTCCAAAGCTCTCTCCTTCATATTTTTCAAGATAAGCTAAGAGGGCTAATTTATCAGAAAAAATCTCTCAAGAGCGATCCAGTGTAGGTTGGAAGCTGGTTAATTAAATCACATAAAATAGACGTTGGTAACTATGTATTTAAATGGGGAAATTAGGGTACCTTGACAATATTATTATATCTGTATCTGTATAATCTTCAGATTTTTAGCTCTTTTTTTTAGTTTTTCTAATGCTCATGTCTGAAAACGATGAGTTAAGTTTAAGAATTAGAATGTGCTCAGAACGTGGGCTCTGAAGGATGTATTTCCAGACTCACATTTTAGCATGAGACCAGGCTCGGTGGTAGGGAGATTTTCTTATCTCTGTTTCCCTGTTTCCTGCTAGGCTGCCCGTGTAACAGTTATAGTGGAAGAGGATCCAAACACAGCACACTGAGGCAAAGTGCAATCTAAAACCTAGAATTTAATCCAGATAGAGATCATACACAAGGCAGACAAGGAGCAGAGAGATGGTCCATACATGGAAAACTGAAACAGGAAGAAATACACTGGTCAAAAAAATTCAAGGAACACTTTGAAAGCACGTCAGATCTTAACAGTGTAAAATGGTAAATGGCCTGTATTTATATAGCGCTTTACTAGTCCCTAAGGACCCCAAAGCGCTTTACACATTCAGTCATCCATCCATTCACACACTGGTGATGGCAAGCTACATTGTAGCCACAGCCATCCTGGGGCGCATTGACAGAGGCAAGGCTGCCAGACACTGGCGCCACCGGGCCCTCTGACCACCACCAGTAGGCAACGGGTGAAGTGTCTTGCCCAAGGACACAACGACTGAGACTGTCCAAGCCGGGGCTCGAACCGGCAACCTTCCGATTACAAGGCAAACGCCCAACTCTTGAGCCACGATCGCATGCTACATCATGCTATATTGACATGGAGTGTTAGGCATGAACAGATGCTACATCATATGGTGGATGTGAAAATGATAAACTACAGAGAGCTGAATTCAAAGACACCCTGAAAATCATAGTGAATAAAGTGATGCGGCAGATTGGTCCATTTTGTAGAAATTTCACTGAGGCAACTCAAAATGACATTCAGTGGTTAGCGCCCATGTGTTTGTATGCATGCTTGGCAATGTCAGGGCAGGCTCCTAATGAAATGTTGGACGGTCCTGGGGGGTGATCACCTATATCTGGACCAGGGCATTACTGAGGATTAACCTGGTCCAGATCTAGGTGACCATCACCCAGGACCATCCAGAGGTGTTCTGTTGAATTCAGTTTAGGCGAGCTTGCAGTCAAGATCAGAAATGGTATGAATTCTTTTATCCTGCATACTCTCACCTCATGCACTGTTGTGCACCACAAGGAAGCCAGGATCCACTGCAACAGTGTAGGGTCCTGACAATGGGTCCAAGGATTTCATCTTGATATCTAATAGCAGTCAGGGTGCCGTTGCCGAGCCTGTAGAGTAAAGTAAAGTAAAGTACATTATAGCGCATTTCACAGATAAAAAAATCACAAAGTGCTTTACAAAACAAGAAATGGAAATATAAAACAATATAACATTTAATAGCAATGTAAAACAATAAAACAATAAATACAACGTAAGAGGAAATTAATAAAATGCAGGTCTGTGTGGCCCTCCATGGATACGCCTCCCAGATCGTCACTGACCCAAAGCCAAACCAGTCATGTTGAATGATGTTACAGACAGCACAAAGTTCTTCACGGCTTCTCCAGACCCTTTCAAATCTGTCACATGGTGAACCTGCTCTTATCTGTGAAAAGCATAAGGCACCAGTAGTGGACCTGCCAATTCTGGTGTTCTGTGGTAAATACCAACCAGTCTTCAAGTACCAGGCATTGAGCATAGGGCCCACTAGAGGCCCTAAGGTCACCCTCATAAAGTTGTTTCTGATTATTGTGTTCAGAAACATTCACACCAGTGGCCTGCTCGATGTTATTTTCTTGTTCGTCCTTGCACAAAGAATCAGGTGCCAGTCCTTCTGATTGGTTAAAGACCTCTTACGGTCCTGTCCAGCTCTGCTAGAGTACCTGCCTGTCTTCTGGAGTCTTCTCAATGCTCCTGAGACGGTGCTGAAAGATATAGCAACCGTTGTGGTAATTGCACTTACTGATTTGAAAGATCTTTTGTAAGGTCCAGGTATCACCCGCCTCATGCTACCAGTAGAGACACTGACACTAGCCGAATGCAAAAGTAGTTAAAAAACAAGAGGAGAGAGAAGAGAGAAATATGTCAGTGGCCTCCACCTGTAAAACCACCAAAGCAGCTGAAACCAATTAACAACCCCCTCTGCTACCAGATCAATATCCCAGAAATTTAACTGACTAACTGGCTATACTCTGATGAAAAAGGGTTCTAGTCTGTTTTTCTAGTCCGCATGTAAATGCAGAAACTGAGCTTTCAAAATCTTCACCCTGGATGGAGTTCTTCAAAACTTCATTGATCCATAACACCTATTACACGGATGATGGGCCAAAAAAAAAAGCTGCGTTTGGTACACCTGGTGATGGCTACCAAAAACCAACTGGTTGAGGAGCAACTTGCTAAAGGACATTTAAACAAATATTAGTGGGGATGAGTGAATGTAAATTTCTGACAACAACTGTACATATATATGATAAAATTGGATATAAAAACTCCCAAAACTATAGAGTCTTGTTAAATTGGTATTAACCAGTTTTCTGCATGAAACACTGGGAGGAAAAGTTACCTTACACAATCTGAGTAAATACAAAGAAATAGTGAAAGCACTTCTGGAACTCCAGTCCAGCTAAAGTGAATGCTTCTCACTTTTATAGTATATGTTGTCTACTTTCTCCTAGTTGCACATGTTTGATAAACATGGTAAAATATCGATAATGCAGAGAGAGCTCATTTAGGATCAAATTTGCAAAGACCATGCAATATTGCTTCTACGTCATCCTGGTCTGGATTTTTCTTTAATTTTATTATATAAAAAAACAAAACCATGCAGGGGACAGTTAAAGCTTTAGTTCTCTAGCTAAAGTCGGTTCAGTCTTGTAGCGGCAACCTTCGGTACTTCTTTGCCGCTTGTGCAGGACGTAAAATTTCTGACTCGTGCTCTTGTTGAATTGCTTGTCTGCCTTTCGGTAGCAAAAACGAGGTGAAGATAAAAAGGGCAAAACATTTATTCTCTATTCAAACCGAAAAATACAAACAAATGCTTCTGGTGGGAGCTCCACTTACATTCCCTTTATGTTACAACGAAAACAACATTAAACAGCCACGGTCAGAAAAACTGTTGCTCCACATCCTGCTTACTTGCCTAACCTTTCCTCTCCCCCACATGCGGGCAAAATACACACCCCTTTTACGACATCTATCAACACTTTACAACAACACAAAAGGCTAACAACGCAGGATTAACTTATGGAGCACAGCATATTACATTATAACATAAAATGATTAAGATTATAACTAGAAACTCAAAGATCATAACAAATACTTACATGTGGCCTGACGTAATTGAGTAAAATATTGGCCTGAACAGTCTAAGCTCCAACATGTCTTATCCCAAAGGTCTATCAGCTGGTGATTCATGTTGGTGCGCTGTCTGTGTTTTCAAGCTAAGAGTGAGATTACAAAGAGTTTTTGGACATCCCCTCGTTGCCATGACAAATAAACAGCAACCACTCCAACTTTGTGTGTGTCTTAGCTCGAGGACCACTTGGGCTAACCTCCTCCTGGACACTATCTGATGGTGTGATATGGCTTCAAAAGCCAGAGAAAGTCGAGTGTTGCAACAGAAGCAGTGATCCTGTTTTATGGAAAACAACTCAAATTTGGGTTAATCCCTAAGGATGTGGTTGGTTGCTAGTTTGGGGAGTTTACCACTAATAAACGTGACCTCTTCCAGCGAGGTAATTAAGTTGTTAGGCCTCTGGCTGTCTCTTCAGGATAAACAGGCTGAGGTGGAAGACAGAGAGGAGTGGGAGGGTGAATCATGCCGCTTATGGGCTTATCAAACACATCCTTCAAGAAAGAGGGGAGTCTCTGAAGTTCTGTGTCGCAGAGCGTGACGCTGTGATGTGCGTTTTTTACTGGGTGGCAGAGTCCTCCTTTAGTCCCTCTGATTTTTCTGACCTGCTGTCATCATTCCTCCCTTGATGTGTGTTCAAATTGCAGCCTGCATCAGATAAGTCACATTTTTCAACTGACTGAAGGCAGACAAGCAAAAAAAAAGGAAGAAGCAGAAAAGAAAAGCACTGAATGGTATTTCAACACAAGCTAATGTAAGACTGAGTGCCTTTAAACCAAAGTAATGAAACAGTAATGAATCTTGTTCTTGAACATCTGCTTTTTAGTTTAATCACAGTACAAATGTCCATCTGTGGCTAGAAATGACTGTTTTACTCACTGCCTGTAATACAGATGAAACAAATATGACTTTCAGATGATTTACATTTTCAAGAAAAAAAAATTGTATTTATATTTTGTTATATTTAAATTAATATTTCAAAATGAGTAAATCAGTTTTTATCATAAACAGTGTATTTAGTAGAGAAAATAAAATGCAAATAATTTGTGAATAATGTTAGATATGCTCTGAAAAAATCTGTGAATAGGTGAAGCTGTGAATAGGCGGTGGTCGACTGTATGCACATTTCAAGCTTCACATTGAAGTTCACTTATTTAACCAGTTGCTGCAGGTACCAGCCATTCAAACCACATTTATTCGAATGCATAAGAACTGCTGCCCTGGATTCTCAAACTTCTTGCTCAGGAGGATCATGGAGCTTCTGCTTACACCTCAGGAGCCAGGAACCAGCAACAACATTGTCAAGGATGCTGAGGCTGGACTCAAAAGCAGGACTCCAACTGTGCACTCAGACAGAGGTTTATTTACACACCAGTGATATTATGTACATATATACAGTGATAGGGAAAAGGGGGTCCAGGGGAAGGTCCGGGGCAGTCCAATCCAACACCATGACCACACTCACTCACACTCTTTCAGGTCAGGTCCAGGGAGGTGTAAACAAGGAGATGGAGAAAGGCGTTAATAGAGCACAAAGGACCATGGGAAAATACACAAGTGAAAGCGCGGGGGTAACTAACACAGGTAAGTATAACACTCCAGCGAGGAACAGCACTCCAACAAGACCTTAAATCCTGTTTAGCTTCATCAGCTGCTGATGAGCCGCAGGTGTGGTGTGGGTGGAGGTCTGGTGAACCACAGGAACACAGACGCCGCCCTGGTGATTGTGGAGAGTACAGCACTCCAGGGTGGTCATTGACGATCCATGACAAACGTCCATTTGCCTTCAGAGTAAAAGCTGTGACTTCCCTCTGCAATCAACATATTTCACAAATGTGTGATTTTGACTTTGAAGGTGAAGGGTCTCCCTCTTTGTAAACAAATCATCATGCAAACTTGGGTGATTGTGCCAATCTGCTAACGCCTAAAGGTGGCTTTTGGTGCAGCCTTGTATATCTTTTTTGCAACCTAGCAACAGCCAGCAACCTCCAGAAACCTCTAGCAACAACTCTTCAACTGGTTGGTGAATACCAATAATGCCTGGTGGAAAAGATATTGTTTTTAACTCAAGCAATCAGATAGTACTTTTCATGTTAGGCTATGCCCTGCAAGTGCAGGAAATGTTGAGGAACAGTGTGGAGGTATTCACAAAGTATGCTAGCTTGCAGCAACATTAACAGGGTGTGATATTGCCAAGGAATATAGACCTATTATCCTGGGGTAAATATCCTTTAAAACTGTTTGCTTGGAAAGATATATCTACTGTATTTAACACACATCCAACTGTATTTGGCTAGATGTTAACAGAGATGTTGAAACACAATGTTTTAGGCATCAGCGTTGGAAGAGTCCAGTGGGCCTGAACTAAGAAGGTGGATTTTGTCTTATTGAGGTTGGACATCGAGGATAACCCTGGGTGTTACCCCCACCCCAAGGTGGTTTATCTCTTACCTGTATACTTTTCTATGACAACTTAAACTGTGAATCTATCCTACTCCATGCCATTTTTGTCCAGTCTCTTTCTTATTGCTAAATCACAAACTCTGACCTTGACTGAGGCAAGCGAGGACTTCGGTTCTTTAGAAGGTGTTTTGGGTTCTTTTTTCACTCCTGAATGAGTGATTGACCTTTTAGGCCGTCTCATTTTTATCAGACCGGTTCTGCCTTGGTGATTTCTTGATTCATCAGGTGTGGCATTAATCAGGTGCGATTAGTGAAACTAAACTTGGCTTTTTAAAAATGTGGTTAATCACAGATAATTTGTGATTTAAAAACTGACCAATCTCTGGGCCTATGTGACTAGGGCCTTACTATGTGGTCACCCTGCCTTTTGGCTTATGATAGTTGGGATATGATAAGTGTTTAAGAGGATGGATGGACAGATTCGTGGGTAGATGGATGGAGTTAATTGTACTAACAAGGTGTCCAAGAAGTATCTGCTCATTTGTTTAATTACAGAAACTCATATGGTGGGTGTTGGTGTGGGTCAATGGGCCAATGCCACATTTTTGTGTGTGTTTTATTTAAGCTTAGCTAGGAAGACTTTGTACCTCAAACTAACCAATTAGTCCCCAACTGTGACAATGAGTCCACAAGAGTTGTTTTAAAATCCCATCTACTTCAGCTGTCTAATCATGGCCACTTATATGCAACATGGCCTTGAGACGCAGAGTTATGTCACCTGAGAGGCCTGTATACAGCTGCTGTCACCACTGATGGAATGTGAAGACTTGTTTTGTCCCGCTTGAGGCCTCGTTGAACCCCCTCCTGTCCACCAAATCCCTCCGCCTCCTACACGCAGTGGTGCCGGTCAGTCTTGAGAATGAAGGGGCCCTCCATCAGTGGATGCTAAGTGGTCATTTCATAAAGATAAGTGCCATTCACAAAAGGAGCTCATGATCAATTCAAAGAGTTGCTTATGGGAGAGACTGTCAACACCTGCACATAAGGTGATTACTTGGAAGGTAGAGTCACCTGTGGCTGAACTCTGCTGTAGACTTGCATCAGTAAACGCAAAATGAACTCTATGGGAGACACAGCCCCCTATAGTGAAAACAGTTAAGCTAGTTGGAAAGCCTGTATTACATCTCACAGAGATTCTAGTTCTATATTTTTAGGTCAATGACCTAATGACTTCTTGAAAGGAAATAACTTATTGTTACTCTGTAAGGAAGTTAATCAAAAGTGAGGTTGTGATCTGATATTTTGAAATTAAAATTGAAAAAAAAAAAGTGAAAAAACAAACTTTTGCTATTTTGCAAGTTCTTTACATAAGTGTAATAGTCACATTTTGATTTAGTTTATTGGCACAATTGTTAACTAACAGCTTGTCATCTGAGCATCACAGATGGTTAATGGCTTAAAATGAGGCACTTTTATTATTCTAAACATTTACACTCAGGACACTTTATTAGAATGGTTTATATAAGGCAGGATGGAGCCATGCTGACTCTGCTATCTGAACATCACAGCAGAAAAACCGAGACTCATTAGGCCAGGCAATATCTAGTATTGTTCAATTTTAGTGAGCCCATGTGAATTGTAGCCTCAGTTTCCTGTTCTTAGCTAACAGGAGGGGTCCTGTGTGGTCTTCTGCTGCTGTAGCCTATTTGCTTCTTGTCAGAGATGCTCTTCTGCATACCTTTGTTGTAATGAGTGGTTATTTGTGTTAATGTCTGCGCAGTCTGCGCTCTCCTCTGACCTCCGGCATCAACAAGGGATATTCCTCAGAGAACTGACACTCACTGGATATTTTCTCTTTTTGAGATGTTGCACTGGAAACTCACAGGAGATCAGCCCATCTGTCGCATACTACCACGCCACTTTCAAAATGGTATAGTTGTCAAATTTATTCTTCATTCTGATGTTCAGCTTGAACTTCAACAGGTCATCTTCAGAATGTCTACTGAGTTTTTGCCATGTGATTGAATAGACGTTTGTGTTAACAGGTGTACCTAACAAAGTGACCAGTGAGTGTAGGTAAGGTTGAATTACTTACATTTCAGTGTTAAATTATATGAAAGTAAATATTTTTGCTTTGGGGTAAAACACACGAAATCAAAAGGAACTTATAAGCTGAACATGTTTGTGGTTTATATTCTGAGCTGAGTGAATGTGCGAGTGAATGTGAGTGTGAATGGTTGTCTGTCCCTATGTGTTGGCCCTGCGACAGACTGGCGACCTGTCCAGGGTGTACCCCGCCTTTCGCCCTATGACAGCTGGGATAGGCTCCAGCGCCCCCCGCGACCCTGAAAAGGATAAACGGAAGCGAATGGATGGATGGATTCTGAGCTATCATGAGCTAGTGCTCAGTAGGCAGGCCTATGTAGTGTTCTCGTTTTTAAATGTTACTAAACGTGAAAATGAGAACTCTATGGCAGAAAAATGAAAACTCCCAATGTCCTTTTCACTAGATTTCCCCTGGAGCTCTGAAACATTTCGTATCCAGCAGCAATTCCTTCCATATTTGGGTTTTGCAATGACAACTAAACCATGTCCAAGATGACTGAGCCAAGTAGCAGAAAGAGTTTTCTCAGATATTGTTTTTGTTCTGTCAGCATTTTAAAAAAATAATAAAAGTTTTTATGGGGCATTACAGCAGCACTTGTTTAAACGAGAGCTGGGGTCAGAGGGTTCATCTGGCTGATGGGAACTTCACATCTGGACTGACTTGTCTTGGTCTCCAGGTTCAGAGAGCGAGTGATTATGACAGAGTGCTGTAACTTTATTATGCAAACAGTTGTTACAATAGTCTTTGGCTGAATGTTCAGAACCCTAAAGCACACATATGTGTTTTTAAGCCTCAAATCAGGAACAAAATACAACCATATTTTTACTTTGTCTTTTTTTGTGTTGATTTAATTTGCTTTGGACATTTTGAGGAGAAACTTTTCAAAATATTTTATATAAATCTGGCAAGCTCCAAAGAAAGAGTGATCATGGAAAAACAGGGATAATCAACTCATTATCAGATTAAAACCTCTGAACAATGACATTTACTCTGCAGAGATGTGCAGCCATGTTGGGCAATAAATTTTGTTACACCCCCTGAAGCAGGGGGACTCAGTGAAAGCTAAAAATCTGCTTCATCTTAGCACCACTGTTCCCTTGAAGGCTCCACCACAGAACTTATTGAAGTGCATGTTGCAGTTGCTTCTGTGCTGTGCTACCCCCTAGCTTCCATATGAGCAACTTACCCTGGAGCTAAGTACAGCATATAAAGTCTGGAGTAAAAGGAATAAAAACAGAGTTTTTTGTGGTTTCTTCCAAGAGAAGCTGTGGATATAAAGCTAAAAACTCAAAATAAGTTTAACAACATGTTGTTTATGGTTCAGAAATAATTGGGAAGGCTTAGAGTTTAGAGTGTGGGTGTTCAAAAAGCATTAGTAGAGGAGCTAAATGTATCACATCTGTAGTCAGCAGTAAAAGTGCCTCACTGCTGAATATCATGTGTGCATACATTGTATAAACTAAAGGATTCCTCGGAGTTTATGACTGACTGTATGCTGCTGCATTCCTCACAGCTATCTCCTCTAATGATGGCAGAAAAGTGTCAGACCTCCCCTCATGTCCAACCAGGGTTTATGAATTTTTACTACACCACGTTCTCATGTTTTAAAGAACAAGGCTACCAACCTGTTGTTGCTTCCGTTTAGAGCTTTAAGTGGCAGCAAGAGGTGTAGATGCCTGAAAAGATTCCAGGGACTTATTCAGGCTTTAATATCTGTGGAAACACTCACCTCAGTTAGTGGGACAGTTTCAAAGAATATTATGTGTTTTGTATGCGAAAGGGTGCAAATAAATGTGAGTTCCCCTACTTACAAAATTGTGGTTTCTACAGCCCTCTACCAATTCTGTCAAGATGACCGGTCAAACATCTAGCCAGAAATATGCCACAAACTAAAAACATCTAGTTGTGGTGCATCTTTCTAAGGAATAGTTAACCATAGTTAATCAGTGAGAGTGTATATATACACTATACTGCCAAAAGTATTCACTCACTCATTCAAATCATTGAATTCAGGTGTTCCAATCACTTCCATGTTCACATGTCTATAAAATCCATCACCTAGGTATGCAGACTGCTTCTACAAGAAGAATGGGTCGCTCTCAGGAGCTCAGTGACTTCCTGTTCCAGTGAATTCCTGTGCAATAAGACTAAACATTTCACAGTCAGCTGTTAGTGGTAATAGAACAGAGCTGAGGCGCATAGTGCACAGAGGTCGCCAAATTTCTACAGAGTCAGTTGCTACAGACCTCCAAACTTCATGTGGCCTTCACATTAGCTCAAGAACAGTGTGTAGAAACCTTCATGGAATTAGTTTCCATGTATACCAGGCTTACATCAGCAACAATGCAAAATGTTGGATGCAGTGGAGTAAAGCACACCTCCACCAGCCACTAGAGCAGTGGAAACATGTTCTCTGGACTGACGAATCATGCTTCTCTATCTGGCAATCTGATTGATGAGACTGAGTTTGGTGGTTGCCAGGAGACGGTACTTCTCTGATTTATTATGCCAAGTGTAAAGTTTTAGGGAAGGCGGATTATGATGTGGGGCTGTGTTCAGGAGTTGGACTCGGCCCCCTTAGTTCCAGAGAAAGAAATTCTTAACGCTTCAGCATACCAAGACATTTGGACAATTTCATGCAGTTCGGGGAAGACCCCTTGTTCCAACACTCCAACATGGCTGCACACCAGTGCAAAGCAGGGTCTGTAAAGATACGGATGAGGCCCTCTCGTTCAAACATCAATGTGTAAACTGCAAATGGTGGGCCAGCATCGAGTATAGGATGTCAGTAAAACTCACATGTGTGTGAAGATACAAAAACTACACTGAGATAAATTAAATTATGTTGTCAATACAACGAGCTTAATTTGTTCTTGTTCTACAACGAACACATATGAAAATATGATTAAAGCCCAGCGATGATAATGGACATGGTTTTCACTTCCCCTTCTCAGTCAGTGCTGCTTACCGCTCCAAAAGGTCCTGATTGGATTTGATATAATCTGACAAGCCGGCCAGGTCTCACACACACACACACACACACACACACACACACACACACACACACACACACACACACACACACACACACACACACTTATTCCAGGTCATCTGATACACACAAATGCACAAGCTTCTGCAGACTCACTAGCTGACTTAAATGTATGACTCTTCATAATGCAGCAATACTAGACAACTTTACGGACTAAATTCCAGGATGTAAACAAAACGAGAAGATGGAACAAGTCGTAAATGTGGCAGTTTGGTGCAGAAGATTTGCCTCTCGTCCCTCTCACCAAAGCATGGTAAGTAACCTGAAAATAAAAACAATGACAGGCATAACAAGGAACACCTTGTCATAGTTAAATACTGCAAATAAAATTAGATAGACATGAAAAATGAATTAGCCGCAGCTGAGTAAGAGTAAAGTTGCAAAAATCGGATGAAATCCACTGCTTCTTTAAAACGTCTCAAGCACAAGTATAAACGTGTAAAATTCACACACCGAGAATCTGCAAAATCTGAGTACTAAAATCCTGTTATAACGCTATGAAATATGAGATATTTGAGAGCCAGGCCACTTGGATTTATCTTTTTGTGTTCATAGCACTGATAATAATTTTACACGAGGATTATGAAACAGTACAAGGTCACACCAGATAATCCTGTTGTACCCAGCTGATAAACTGTTGACATGCTTTCAGGTATAGTTACATTAAAACTCAAATATCTGTTACTGGAGTTTTTACTAACTAACCTGGTTGAAGAGAAATTTGCTGGCAGGTATCTTCTTCTTTAAAATCAGTAAGAATGCATTAGATTTTAAGATGTCACTGGTGTGTAGAAAACAAAGTCAATAAAATCGCATATCATGGACAAATAGTACAGAATAAACTCCCCGAAGAAATCTGTAAGGATAAAGTAGCATCCAGTAAATTTACAAATGCAGTAGCTGTAAGTACCCAAAACGATCATTACCACCGCCTGCAAACCATGTCCACATGTGTGAACATCTGGACATCCTTGATTGCATGTTCAGTTTTTGTAGTTACACTGTAAAACACGGGCTCTGGAATCCCTCTGGCAATTTTTTTTTTTACAAAGGCTTGTTAATTACAAATTAATTAAACTTAGCTTTAAGCAGTTTTTAGACATCTTTTTTTCCCTCAAGTATTTGAGGATATAATGCAAAGAGTTTGCTTACCCTATTTAATTCGTCTTTAAAAGAAAGAAAAAGAAAACAATTAATATAATGTTCTGAATTAAACACCTGCAGATGTAAGGTTTGATGGATGGATGAAATGAATAATCCAAGAAGAAAAAACAAACCAAAGCGCAGAGAGAAGGACACGGGCTTCACAAAGAAACCAGAAGGACTGAACAGGAATACGAAGAGAACTAGCTCAGAAACAATAAACAATTGAAACTAATTAGTGGTCTGCAGGGAGGAAAACAGGCACGCAAGTTTAAAACACTGAGGATGGGATCATTTAAAGTGAAACTATACACAAAACTACAAGCTCAGACTTCCTCAGCTCATTAGGTTCAAGTGATATTCAGAAAAAGACCGTTGTCTTTGTGACTGAACCGTTGCTTTCTTGGTAATTCAATCTAATACTTTTCTTTATTTTTAATGTTTTCTCAAATGTATTAAATTAACTTACATTTAAAAGATTTATAAGTTATGTCACCATTTCTCAAGCAAGACAAAATTATTTAGGTTACAGCTGAGTGGAGAAGAGTAAAAAAAACAAGTCTCATTATTGTCCCACAAAAGCATCAATTTCCTCTAAGTCAGAACTAAACTTGATGAGACTTGGAGTCAAATATCCTCAAACCTCTACAAAAGACAATCTAGATGGAAACACTGTATAACATTTCCCTGGTGCTTGCTGAATGTTTTTGAGGAAAGGAGCTCAAATGACAGGCTTTTCTTTCTTTCACTCATCTAAATTTTAGGGAAGCAACACTTTCACTTTCAGACTTTCCTCACCAACCTTCCTGTGAGCCTTGAGATGCGACAGCAACGCCGTGCCTTCACCTCCTTACCTCAGACATGGAAGAAGACACCAGAATCATCTCCTGATTTCTGCCTTTCCTACTCTGCTTTTATAATTAAGTCATCTCCCTCAGCTCATCCTCCTTCCTCCTTAAATCCATGTTGCTGCGCTCCAAATCTTCCTCCTTCCCTCACACCCCTTTCCTTTTGTGGCTTGTTGAGGTTCCTCTTCATCCTCCTGGCCTCCTTGTGCTTACTGCCCTGTCCAACCCAGGCAGCTTGGTTTCGGGTTGGAGTGGTGGGGCCCTGGGGATGTGACCCTCTCTTTGCCAAGGCCCTTCCCAGTGTGGCAGCACAGCTCGCTGTCAATCGCATCAACAAGGATGCCTCACTGTCCTATGCTGTAACATTTGAGTATGCAGTGCTGCAGGTACACAACTGACCGAAGCTCCACACATGATTCACTACTAGCATTATATTTGCTGATATACATGAACCAAGTACATTAAGATTATGGGCTACTCAGCAAGGAAAGCTTTGTTAGCAGTGTTGGGGAGTAACGGAATACATATACCGCTGTTACATATTTAAAATACAAAATATGAGTAACTGTATTCCGTTACAGTTACTGTTTAAAAAGGTGGTATTCAGAATACAGTTACTTTTTTGAAATAAAGGGATTACACGGCGGTCTTTTCCTGTTTCATATGTTAGGCTATGGTCTCTCTATTTTTGGTAATTCCACGCCGATGGAAACCCAAACAAAACGCACATTAAGAGGCTCTAATGCCTGTGTCTCAATCTTGCGTCTCATAATGATGTGAAGAATATGAAGTGTTTAATATGAAGGCAGTAGGCAGAGTGTTACAGGTATCGCTGTAAAGAATGTAGCCTCATGGGCAGTGTAGTCCGTGCTGCAGGGAGAGTGGACTGCCATACCTGTTATGTGTCTGTGAGCGCGAGGAGGGAGAAAAAGGAGATTGGAAAAGTACGAGCTGTCACTGAGAAGAAACGGGAGCTGGAAGCATGTAAATATAATAATAACCACTGCAGCCAAAAAGAGAGCCTGACGAGCTCAGTTGTAAGTAAGCTATTAAGACTCGACTGTACTGTTCGTGTTTTCCTCCGAAACAATACTTTTCGTTGGAGCAGCCTTTCAACGCCTCTCTCTGTCTCTCACTAGCAAAGTTGATCCAGACAACAAAGTAAAGCTAGTTTTGGCTACGAGCCCCACACAGAACCAACGTATTAGCCAGAGGTCCCTTTACTACGGTTCAGAGCCGCGGACCTGTTTTATATACGCGCAGAACAGTTTTCTATACAAGATCGCTGCAAAAAGTGCAGCCTAATGTCCACCCAACTGTTGCTCATTTTATATTAATATTTAAAAATGTAGTATGGCGAGTAACCTTCAGTAATCGTAATAAATCACACAGCAATAGTACATTCATGTAGTTGTAAAAAAGCATGACAATATATTAAGTAATCCAAAGTATTCAGAATACATTACTGTCATTGAGTAACGTAACGGAATATGTTACAAAATACATTTTGGGGCATTTACTCTGTAATCTGTGGTGGAATATATTTTAAAAGTAACCTTCCCAACACTGTTTGTTAGGCAACCAAAGTTAGCTTATTTAGCTAGCAACATTAATCTATAAATTAAGCCAAATAAACAAAAAAAACCAAAACAGGAACAAGCATTCAGAAAGTATGCAGAGGCAAAGAACACCTTATATTAAAGAAATTGCTCATCATTTAAACAGTATGCCACTATAATTTAACTTTGCATGTGCTATGCTGTTGAGTAGCTTTAACACTGGAAATCTTGAACAAACCTATATCCTTGCAAATATAATTTAGCTGCTCTACACTGCATGAAAGAAAATTGATGCATGGCTGTTTCAAGTTAATTTACCTTGTTTTTTTTCTGGCTGGTTTGTTTCAGTATTAATTTTTGGATTATTGGACATTTTTTTCAGGAGCCATGTGAGACATCCAGGGCACTGGAGGCATTTGTGGGTTTCCACACCAAAGCTTCAGGCTACATTGGCCCAGCCAACCCAGGCTACTGTGATGCTGCTTCAATGCTGAGCAAAGGCTGGAATAAAGTAAGCTGGAATGTGTCTACTACGCATCTTTAACACATCAGGAAGAAAAACTAATCATATTTTGCTGTGATTTGGTCTCGTTACAAACCCTTTTTCTTGTCTACTGTAATCTTCCAGGCACTGTTTCCTTGGGGATGTGTTGGCTATGAGTTGGATGATGTTCGCAGCCATCCGACTTTTGCTCGCTCGATGGCAAGACCTACCTGGGTCCTACTTAGTGTCATGAGCTACTTCAGGTGGGCTCACATTGGCATCATCTCTTCCTCTGAGGACATCTGGATGGAAACAGCAACCAAGGTTTGAAAACCTTTGTTTTCACATTTGGACTCCAAAAACAGCCACAGGTTTCTGAATGCTGCCTAGATACCTAGAAGAGTTACAACATCAAATACCTGATCATAAAGCCAAGACTATCAGTCTTTGAAGTTTTGTCTAGGCCATGTTTCTCTATCATGTCCAGGTGGCTGACGCCTTGAGGAGCCACGGCATGCCGGTCAGACTGGTCACTTTTATGGAGAACACACCTCACGGCATCAGACGAGCTCTCACCAAGGTCCGCAAGATGAGTGAAATACGAGGTCAGTATTCATTTATATTCATTTAAGTCTCAACTCACTTGCGCTCAACTGGATATTCGATGGTCAAGTAGTTATTTCTGTTATCATCTTCATTGACCCTGACCATCTGATGATGAAATTTATGTCACTTGCACCTGAGTAGACATTTGCAAACTAGTGGATTAGCGAAATCTAAATGAGGGTTTACGCAATCGAGTTAGTAGGAAGTACCTTAAACCTAAATTTCTTATGCAACCCTTGTGGTTGCATAAAAACTTCCAGTTTTTTATGGTCTGCAGGAAAACAGTTTTCAACTTGCTTGTGCTACAACCTTAGTAAACATTTTCCTGATTATTTAAGGACTCAGTTGCTAGTGTCATATCAGACTGAGTACAATATGAAATTTTGATAATTGAGCTCATTTTGATTATAAAGGAAGGAAATGCATATTGGCTAACAATTTGTCAATCAGTAGAAAAACATTTACTTTTTTTCACATAAAGACAATGTCAGTCAATGATGAAACATGTCAGATCTTGATGTTCAGTCTCATTTCTCGTCCCAGTTGTGATCCTCTGCATGCACTCGGTTCTGATTGGTGGCACAGCCCAGAGGCTTCTACTGGAGACGGCCTACGATATGCAGATGATTGATGGCTCTCTAGTGTTTCTTCCTTATGACACACTGCTCTACAGTCTGCCCTACCATAATGTGACCTACCCAGCTCTGAAGAGAAACAACAAACTGCTGCGGGCCTATGATGCCGTGCTGACCGTCACCATCGACTCACCCCGGGTGTCGTTCTACGAGGCTTATAGAGAGGCCATGGAAAGAGGAGAGGTGGCGAGTACGTTGAAACCCCAGCAGGTGATGCACGGAAAGAGATTTTAATACATTAAGCATTGTCTTTCTATTGAAGACATTGCCATAAGCAAAGCAGCTGAAGTTGACATCTCTGTGTGTGCTGTAGGTATCGCCTCTGTTTGGTACCATCTACAACTCTGTCATCTTCATGGCTCATGCAGTGCATCGGGTTCGGGAGTCCAGGGAGTGGATGTCTGGAGGAAATTTGGCACGACAGAGCCAAAACTTGGCCTTCCAGGTAATGAGACACAGCACTGGGTCTACTTTTTTTATGCCTAATTCCTTGCTGCTGTTGTAGGCTTTCCATCTATTTCAGTTTCTGAACCTGGTTTACTGTACAATATAACTCTAAAAAGTTACTTTTCTCAATAGGTAATATAGTGCATTTCTGTATTAAATTATGTAATAAAATAGAATAGCCTATATGATAAGATGAGAAAGATCTATACAAAGGATAAACGGACGCACCCCTTTTTTTTTTTCCTTTTTTTTTTTGCAGGGCTTCAGTCACCCAATTACAACTAATGGGTCTGGAGCAGCTCTGCTGGAATACCTCATACTGGACACAGATGGAATATCTTGGGAGCTGAAGCCAACACACAGGTATTTAATAGCTGAGATTACATGTTTAGTGTTTTATTGTGTCTGACTAGGAAATGAAGGAATGAAGGCAAGTCAAGAGAAATGCTGTACTAGTGCAGATACCATTCAAAATTAACAACTGATCTAACTGACTAATGACAGGGTCGACATGGAGATCGGTATGGTCCGCTTCCTGGGTAAAGACATCCATTTCCCTCGAGGTTATGGACCCAAGAAAGACGCCTCATGCTGGTTTACTCCAGGAGTCATCTGCTCAGGAGGTGAGGATGTAGCAACTTTGACTTCGTCCATTGGGTTACTGCTGTGAAGCTATAGGCACCAACACCACAAATACAATACATTCAAGACTGTGTTTCAATGACTTAAATGACTAGCCTATTAAAACTCAACACTTTCCTAAAAAGGCATAATTTTAAGCCATTATAAAATAATGAAATAACAATAAAACGGTTGAGTTACACAAAAAAATCCTAACCCTTAAAATAGTTGTTGAGGAAATTAGCTAAAAGAAACAAAAACCTGTATTTTTCTGCGGTAAGGTTGGACATTTTAACAGAGGAGTCTATGGGGCTTGACTCATGAAGGCAGCCCTTTGTGGCCATTTAAGGAACTGTAAGTTGCTGCTTGGCAAGGACCAAGCACACATCTATACACAGTATGTCACGTTGATCTCTGTGCTCTGGATGTTTCAGCGTACATTTGATATATTTAAGAATGATACATGACACTTCAAACAAATATATAAATATATGTGCAGTTCCAAGAAAGTGTTTGTGTTTTGTTTCAAAAATTTCATTACAAGTATTTGTACCGTTGGAAGTGTCATACCTACTTCAAAATTGAATTTAAACTAACAATTAAAATTAAAGCTTTGACAATATAAGCTAGTAAATGTTTGCATCTAATTACAGATTTTTTTAAGATAAAATTTGTTTTTCGACTTCTTCTTCTCTGTTCCAGGAGTGGATTTGTTCTCAACCATAAGTGTGCTCCTTGGGGTGATTGCTGCCTTTATTGTTGCTGTGCCACTAATTTACTGCATCAGGTACAAAGATGTCTTAAAACATGATGTTATTGAATATTAGTATAAATTAAAATCTTTCCAGGTAAAAACTTTAGAACTTATCATCATGTAGCTGTTTTTCTGATATCTCCATGCCTCAAGCGTTAACTTTCATCAACCTCCCTTATTTCCATCAGGCGACGGATAAATCAGATCCGGCTGGTCAGAGGTCCCAACAAGATTTTACTTACACTGGCTGATGTCACATTCATAAACCCATCGCTTAGCAACAAGGTCAGCCTCCGTCTACTTAGAATTCTGAATTCTTAATTTAACATTTTCCTGTATTTATCCAAACTGATAATATTGCGTGATGTAAAGTTGAAACCGACTGACAAATAATTTTCTTCCTCTCTGTAGAAGCTGAGTCTGGATGACAGTAGGACTAGCGGCATGAAGAGCACGTCTGAACGCAGTCTTGCCTCAACAATTTCCACCCAATCGCCAGCCACCTACGAAAACTCCAACGTTGTAATTTTTGAGGCAAGGCCATCCATTTATGAGCTGCAGTGCAACAGTTTCGAAACTGTACAGAAATAAAACAGTTACAGATTGCTCCATGTAACTCATGCAGCATTGGTCCAGCATGGATGTGCAAAAAATACTAAAATTAAATTGATTTACATGGCTTAAAAGCCTAAAAAGATGTCTAAGTATTTGCGCTGTTTGGTGTTTTTCTCCACTAGGGGGACTGGGCGTGGCTGAAGAGACTTCCTTATGGGACATTTAGCAGCATCAATCCCAAAACAAGTGATGTGTTTGAACTGGTACGTGATATTGTTACATGACAAAGTAGATATTTTTTTAGTTTAACTACTTTTTTCATAAAGACAACATCTGACAACCTCCCATGTATCCTTAATTACATGTTTTGAAAAAACCTTAGTTTACATGATTAAAGTCGTGGTTTGGCGTCCATTAGAGTAGTTTCTGGGTTTCCAGCTTCAGGGATTTCTCTTAGTAGGCTTTCATGGAGTAAAGACTTAAATAATGTCATACATTTTTACCGAGAACCAGAAAAAAATGTCAGTGCACTCACTGCCACCATGAACATGAGTATGAGGTTCTCAGCTGATGACATGGTGTTTTGTTGCAGAGACAGATTCAGTTATACCTTCTTCTTGTTGTAATCCTTGGTCTTATAAGCCCAAAAACGTGAAAATCAAGATGTTTCTGTCTGCAGATGAAGGACATGCGTCATGAGAACGTCAACCCTTTCCTTGGCTTTTTTCATGACTGTGGCGTATTCGCCATTGTGACTGAGTTCTGCTCCAGAGGCAGCCTCGAGGACCTGCTCCTAAACGAAGACGTCAAGCTCGACTGGATGTTCAAGTCATCTCTGTTGCTGGATCTAATTAAGGTGAAAGGCAGATAGCAGGAACACGAGTATTTTTTGGTATTTTTTTTAGACAAGGAACATATCCTTGTCTGCAGTCAGGATTAATCAAAGATTTTTAAAATGTTATACTTTTAAGGGTATGAAGTATCTCCATCACCGTGGAGTGTCTCACACTCGTCTAAAGTCTCGCAACTGTGTGGTGGATGGACGGTTTGTCCTGAAGGTTACAGATTATGGCTACAATGAGGTCCTAGAGGCTCAGAGGTTCCCTTATATTGAGCCACATGCAGATGGTGAGACAAACTATGCAACAGGAACAGTTACTTGAAAAAAGCACTACCAACCTGTTTTTAAAATAATGCCCTCATCTTTGTGCAAGAGTTACTTTGGACTGCTCCAGAGATCCTGAGGAGTGGCCAGGCAGGACTACACGGGACTCTACCCGGTGATGTGTACAGCTTCGCCATCATCATGCAGGAGGTGGTGGTGAGAGGGCCTCCATTCTGCATGCTGGACCTGTCTGATAAAGGCAAGAGAATAGCTTCACAATAATAAACCTCCCAAATCTAGTAGAAACGCACAAGTCCAGACTCAGAGAGATTAGACAGCTTCAATTCTTGACAAGATTAGATTCTTCTATGAAAAGATTCCTCCAATTTAAAGGTTCCAGCAGGCAGAAATCTAGAGTGAACCTGTGAACATAACATGCAACTTAGCAAAGAACCAGTTTTAAATTGTATCTTTGGGTACTTGGGTACTAGCAGCTTAGTTTGTTCCCATTTCTTTGGTTGAATGTACAAAAAATTCAAAAGACATGAGGTCAGGAGAGAGGAGCACATTGTGTTTACAGTCATCTATAAGACACAGTAGGGGCTCTTTGTTGCTGCACTTCAGCCAGTGGATTTGGAGATCTTGTCAAAATTGATGGAATTATGAATGCAGAAAAGTACATTCAGATTTTGACCACAATGCAATACTATCTGGAAAACATTAAAATGGCAACATTTTCATTTTCCGGCATGATAATGATCCCAAACACACTGTCAGTGCAGTAAAAATGATACCTGGATAGAAAAACGCACAGTGGAGCACCCTTAGTCATGGATTTAGTCATTAGTCATTAGGGCCTGGACCTTAACATTGTTGAAGCATTTTGGGATCATCTAAAGGCAGCCAACATCCAAAAGAAGAGCTTAATATGTCCTTCAAGAGATCTGGAAAACTATTCCTGAAAACTACTTAAAGAAATGACAAGAAGGCTGCCTGAGAAAGTTGAGGCTATGTTGAAGAATAAAGGTGTTCATACCAAATACTGACCTTTAGGCTGGTTAGAACTGTACAAGCTCTGTTTCTTTCTTATATACTGTATTTCTATGTATGTTTGCAGATGTTTCAATACATCACTGCACATATGTTCTTAGCCAAATGGGGGAGGTGTAAAGTTGATCAAAGTTGTTTCCTTCTGGATCAGTTTACTTACCAGTACTGGCATCCTCATTTAACTGGTGTTTCTGTGTTTTAGAAATAATAGAGAAGCTGTGTAAGCCTCCTCCTCTGTGCCGTCCAGTGGTCAGTCCGGACTATGCTCCAATGGAATGTATCCAGCTGATGAAACAGTGCTGGAATGAACAGCCAGACAAGCGGCCGGTCTTTGATGAAATCTTTGACCAGGTAGGGCTATTACAAAATATACATTTTTATTTTGAGAAAATATGTTTGAAATAATATTAGAAATAATTTCTTGGAGAACTCTGGTGGGTTTTGAGGATGTCGATGTTCTCATTCCAGTTCAAAAACATCAACAAGGGGAAGAAAACCAACATCATTGACTCTATGCTGAGGATGCTGGAGCAGTACTCGTCTAACCTGGAGGAGCTAATCAGAGAGCGGACAGAGGAGCTGGAGATAGAAAAACAGAAGACAGAGAAGCTTTTGACTCAGATGCTGCCTCCGTAAGTAATTATTTTCAGTGGTATAAAGATGAGGATAATGCTGTTACCTTTACACGTTATTTGATACCTGGCTCTTTCCTCCTGTTTACCTGGCCACAATCACACATATTTTCACTTTTTTTTTCCAGGTCTGTGGCAGAGGCTTTGAAGGTGGGCGGGACAGTTGAACCAGAATATTTTGACCAGGTGTCACTGTATTTCAGTGACATTGTTGGCTTCACCACCATCTCAGCTAACAGCGAACCCATTGAAGTGGTCGATCTCCTCAACGACCTCTACACCCTCTTTGACGCCATCATAGGAAACCATGATGTCTACAAGGTGATAATCTTTTATGTAGTCGTACTGTGGCTTCTGGTATTAAATCTCATCACATGACACTGATGCTTATTCATTTCTGATCTCCTCCAGGTGGAGACAATAGGCGATGCTTACATGGTAGCGTCAGGTGTTCCAGTTCCTAACGGCATCCGACATGCCACAGAAATAGCCAACATGGCTCTTGACATTCTGAGTGCTGTGGGGACCTTTAAAATGAGACACATGCCTGATGTTCCAGTGAGGATACGAATAGGACTTCACACAGGTATTAAAGCATTAGTGCAATATGTGAAGGAGGGTTTTTAGTTGTACAGTTGTCAGTATAGAGTAATTTGAAGTAATGTACACTTCATGGTTATTTAAAATGTAAGCATATATGATGTGTCAATGATTTTTAGCATTTTTATTGGCACAAAATTCGATAAACTACCCGAAACCCAAAGCCATTGACTTTTAACCATTTAGAATATGGATACAGCTACTTTGCTGTCACACAAGTTTCCCTCTGAAGCCTCAATTTGAACCTCTTGGCTGTTGCCAACTTGTCATCAAGGTAGACATATGTAAAAGAGGACCCTCCTTTATTATTATTTTAGTCCAAACTGAGCCATAAATTATATGATTTTCAGTGAGACTTCAAATTGAAGTCATAAACTCATCACAAAAAAATGTACTAACTGACTCACTGGCAAGTTTATTAGGTTAAATATCTAATCAGCCAATCATGTGGCAGCAACTCAACACATTTAGACAAGGAGAAATTGTCAAGTTGACCTGCTGTGTACGTATGTGTTGTAGGTTCGTGCGTAGCAGGTGTTGTGGGTCTCACCATGCCTCGCTACTGTCTGTTTGGAGACACAGTGACCACTGCCTCTCGTATGGAGTCCAGCGGGATGCGTAAGTTGCTAATCTATAAACGGAAAAATCAGTAGACGGATGAAATAGCCAGACATGAACGTGGACTTGTTGTGAAGTCACCTTTCTTCACCTGGAAATGTATCTTTTAAACATTTATCTGTTACAGCTTACAGGATCCATGTTCATCAGAGTACAGTGAAGGTCCTTCATGAACTAAATCTTGGCTACAAGTTGGAGTTGAGAGGAAGGACAGAAGTCCGGGTACAGCCCTTAAACACAAAATATGGGTTTCACCATTATGATCAGATGAAGTGAAAATACAGCCTCTTATAGTTTCTTTCTATATCTTTCTCAGGGGAAAGGAATAGAGGAGACCTACTGGCTCGTAGGGAGAGATGGGTTTACCAAACCCCTGCCTGTTCCTCCAGACCTCAAGTCTGGGTAGGGATAAGTGACTTTTCTCCTTCTCCTGTGTTACTCTGCCTCTTCCTTTTTACCCTCAAGAGTACTGCACTGGTCCATCCACTAAAAACAATTCCCATGCTTGTTTTAGTGTAAAAACAGCAACACATCATGCCAAATTCTCTCACAGATAGAAATTTTAGTGACCATTAAATTATGTACAGATGGTTATTGTTGAATGTGAAAAATTAAACAAACACAAATAGGGAATGTAACATTGCATTTGGGATGATGAAATAAACACAACATATAGAAAAATCCAAATAATTCAGGTTTATAATAAAACTTAAAAAAAACCCTTTCAGTTATTGCTGTGTGTGTGATGACGTTTGTGTAAAGCTTTTTTAAGATTGGTCCAATTGTTGGGGAGCAAATAGTTTACATAAAGACATATACAGACATGCGCCATGACCATAATAGTAAGAAGTGCAGGTCAAACCCTACCTGACCTTTTGAGCTACTGTTATTTTAATTTAAAGACTACAACAGGAACCAGTTAATTTGGAGGGAATTTTTCAAAATAACAGCTCCTAGTTTGTTCTGAAAAGTTTACAGAAATATATCAGATTTTCAAAATAAATGACATCAAGTAGTTATTAATGACAGCTAAAGCAAAACAAAAACAAAAAATACCCAAAACAAACAAACAAAAAAAACCTTGCCCATCTACATTATAAATAATTCCACAGACTTATCAAAAGTATGAAGCTGAAATTTATTTTTAAAGCTGCTTTCTTTAAAAATGGACAGCAAAGAATAAAATGTGTTGGCTTCCCTATCCTACATGTGTTTGCAGATGTCTTCAACCTTACACAAATTATGACAAAGGTTGCACCCACTCCACCAAGATTGTTTTCTCTAACCATTTCCGAGTATCATCATGGGATAATTCATAATTTCGACAGCAAAACGGCACCAATTTAATGTCTTTGATGCGGAAGAACAGAAATTACTTCTGGTACCCTGGGATGCTTTATCGGATTTCTGATAATTCACTGGAGAAAACTTCAAAACGTATATTTTAAAGGGTCCTATCATCATGTGAGATCAGTCAAAATGTGTTTAGGCTCATTGTTAGCAGCTCCTAGTTTGATTCCAGGCCCATCTTCTATTTGTGATTCCTTCCTCAACTTTCTTAAAAGTTTGAATGTGAGAACCCGAACCATCCGAACAAAGCAAAATAAGCTCTTTAAAAAGGAAAAACTGAGAACTGTTTAGATTCTGGCTGGAAAAGCAGGTAGGGGAACTGAGTTGCTCCAAACATACTCTTAAATGTCATTTCATCAAATCTGAAAAGTCAAACATAATTACTAATGTTTTCTGTCCATGGTGGTTAAGTTTAGATGCAAAAACTGGATGAAAGGTTGAGTTAAAAGGAGAAAACACTGACTGCAGGTATCTATCAGAATTAATATTGCAACTGTGTTACTGCTACTAACAAAACCACAACTTATAACTTACAACACATTTAGGTCATTTCAGACATTTGGGAAAAAAAAAACCGCTTACTTTTTGGAGTACGTAGTTTTATAGAAGTTTTTACACATTCACATTTATTCCCATTTACAGCTGTGAGTTTGTTGGTAATGGCTTGGTGTGCCTTGTTCACTTAAACTGTACACTGAGCACAAGATTTCAGCCTTACAGCATTACAGAATAAAGCTGTGGACCTAAGCAGTGGCTATTACTATAAATCCACCTGTCAGCTAATCTGTTCTTTGGAGAGAAAGCCAAGCCATTGCAGGACTACACTGTGTGCGTATGTGTGTGCTGTCATCACGCTGTTCACTTCATCTCAACAGGCAAATGGCCCATGGGCTGCAGATGGCCGAGATAGCCCAGTACAAGAAACAGAAAGCGGAGAAACAACAACAAGAACAACTTGCAAAGAAGAAAAACTGAGGTAATGTTATGCATTGTAAAAAAAATGTATAACATTACTGGCTTGGTTGGCAACGTTACTCATCATTGGGCAAACATATGTTGGGGAATGAACTGTCTCAGTGCAGTTTGTTTGCATTTGATTGGGTCTTAAATGTGACACCTTCAAAGTTACACAAGAAATCTTAGCCACAGCATGAAGCAGCTTGTCATATAAATGGGAATCTGGTACAATAGCTCTTTGAGCTTTTTCAAAAAAAGGCCTGAGCCAACATATATGTTTCCCAACCAGCTGTTGAGCGGTTGCTGGAGCTTGCTTGCTGGTCCTAAAGATGATGTTCTGCCAATAACCTCCTTGCAATTGCTTTGGTCACTACCAGATTGCCTTGGTTACCCATAGTTGGGTTGGCAACCCATAGTTACATGGAACTCATCAACTTGTAACTGCAAACACTTTTTAACAAACCACCAAACAGTAATGAAACTTTCAAAAATAAGTTGTGCCTTAGCACTGAAACCAGCATATTTCAAAAGGAGAAACTTATGGTCCCAATTTCTAATTTGTCAAGTCCTGACTGGGGCCTATTTATTATGCCAATCATTATTACTTGAGAATTATTGATCATACAAAAAGCCTGCAGACATGAAAAAGTGGTTAGGAAATCTAATGTTTGAATAAATTTCTTCTGTTCATTCATTTTACCGTTACACTGTTACTCATATCTGATGTGAAGTTTCTTGCAGCTTAAACTAAACAAAAGATTTCCTGTGGGATTTTGAAGTCGGTCAAGAGACAAGTAAATGCAAACAAAAACGGCAATATCTAAAGACAGTTCAAGGGAGAGATGTGGGGATTTTGTCCATTAAATACAGGGAGTGCAGAATTATTAGGCAAATGAGTATTTTGTCCACATCATCCTCTTCATGCATGTTGTCTTACTCCAAGCTGTATAGGCTCGAAAGCCTACTACCAATTAAGCATATTAGGTGATGTGCAACTCTGTAATGAGAAGGGGTGTGGTCTAATGACATCAACACCCTATATCAGGTGTGCATATTTATTAGGCAACTTCCTTTCCTTTGACTTGACAGGCTCAGAAAAGTCAAAAATAGTGAGATATCTTGCAGAGGGATGCAGCAGTCTCAAAATTGCAAAGCTTCTCAAGCGTGATCATTGAACAATCAAGCGTTTCATTCAAAATAGTCAACAGGGTAGCAAGAAGCGTGTGGAAAAACCAAGGCGCAAAATAACTGCCCATGAACTGAGAAAAGTCAAGCGTGCAGCTGCCAAGATGCCACTTGCCACCAGTTTGGCCATATTTCAGAGCTGCAACATCACTGGAGTGCCCAAAAGCACAAGGTGTGCAATACTCAGAGACATGGCCAAGGTAAGAAAGGCTGAAAGACGACCACCACTGAACAAGACACACAAGCTGAAACGTCAAGACTGGGCCAAGAAATATCTCAAGACTGGTTTTTCTAAGGTTTTATGGACTGATGAAATGAGAGTGAGTCTTGATGGGCCAGATGGATGGGCTCGTGGCTGGATTGGTAAAGGGCAGAGAGCTCCAGTCCGACTCAGACGCCAGCAAGGTGGAGGTGGAGTACTGGTTTGGGCTGGTATCATCAAAGATGAGCTTGTGGGGCCTTTTCGGGTTGAGGATGGAGTCAAGCTCAACTCCCAGTCCTACTGCCAGTTTCTGGAAGACACCTTCTTCAAGCAGTGGTACAGGAAGAAGTCTGCATCCTTCAAGAAAAACATGATTTTCATGCAGGACAATGCTCCATCACACGCGTCCAAGTACTCCACAGCGTGGCTGGCAAGAAAGGGTATAAAAGAAGAAAAACTAATGACATGGCCTCCTTGTTCACCTGATCTGAACCCCATTGAGAACCTGTGGTCCATCATCAAATGTGAGATTTACAAGGAGGGAAAACAGTACACCTCTCTGAACAGTGTCTGGGAGGCTGTGGTTGCTGCTGCACGCAATGTTGATGGTGAACAGATCAAAACACTGACAGAATCCATGGATGGCAGGCTTTTGAGTGTCCTTGCAAAGAAAGGTGGCTATATTGGTCGCTGATTTGTTTTTGTTTTGTTTTTGAATGTCAGAAATGTATATTTGTGAATGTGGAGATGTTATATTGGTTTCACTGGTAAAAATAAATAATTGAAATGGGTATATATTTGTTTTTTGTTAAGTTGCCTAATAATTATGCACAGTAATAGTCACCTGCGCACACAGATATCCCCCTAAAATAGCTAAAACTAAAAACAAACTAAAAACTACTTCCAAAAACATTCAGCTTTGATATTAATGAGTTTTTTGGGTTCATTGAGAACATGGTTGTTGTTCAATAATAAAATTATTCCTCAAAAATGCAACTTGCCTAATAATTCTGCACTCCCTGTAGAAAGTCCTCTTTTTTTTATCACTGACAAAACTCAGTTCTTCTACTTTACAAGTTTTTAAAATGAAAATGTCACATGTGGACCATTCACCACATCACTGTTGTCACTCGAAATGTTTGAGCTAATCATAAACTTAATTTTTTTAAATTTCATCTGTTTAAGGTTCTTACCCCATCAGAGGGAAATATTCCCAAAGCAAGCTTTTCGTTTAATGTGGTGATGTACCGACACCAACTGACCTGGGCTGAAATGTGAAATCTGATATGTCATGGTGCTTCTTCATACATGTCTACAGTACAGATGTTTTATTTTCATTAGTGCACCTCTAAATTGACTATGTACTGAGGAAACACCACGAATGTCTATATAATTGTTTGTATTTATGACCTTGTCTGTATAGATGTTATTTCCAATGTTTACTTCCTTTTTTTCTTTTCTTAAATGTACAGTCATGTGAAAAAGAAAGCTTTCACAGGAGTCTATGCAGTTGTGTGAAATCTATGTTTTGCTTGTGGTCACTGTCCTGTTACATTATCCATATAGGGCCAAACTTTATTTGTCAGACAGATTTCCTGACACCTCTGAAATACCTTGGTATACAGAGGAGTTCATGGTCAACTCAATGACTGCAAGCTGTCCAGGTCCTGTGGCTGCAAAACAAGCCCAAATCATCACCCCTCCACCACCGTGCTTGACAGTTGGTATAAGCTTGTTTATGCTGATGTGCTGAGTTTGGTTTTCTCCAGACATGGCACTGTACATTATGGCCAAATATTTCCTCATTTGGTCTCATCTGTTCAAAGGACATTGTTCCAGAAGTCTTGTGGTTTACTCGACTTGGAAACTTAAGCTATTCTTTTTAGAGAAAAGGTATCTTCTGGCAACCCTTCCAAACAAGCCATACATGTTGAGTCTTTTGCTAATTGTGCTGTCGTGAATTTTAAGTTTGAACTAACCGAGCCCTGTAGAGTCTGAGATGTAGCTCTTGGATTTTTTGCAGTTTCTTTGAACATTGAACATGATCTGACCTTGAGGTGAATTAGCTGGGGTGTCGACTCCTGGGAAGACTATGACATTGTGTTAACAAGCACCTGAATACTCCAGACCACCAAACTACTGAAACTTCCGCTCTCTGATACTTCCCATTGGAAGCAGTGTACTTAGTTTGTCGCAGGATTTCAGAGAGTCCTGTAAAAACTTTCTGTTTCGCATGATTGTACTTGTTGTTAATTCCTGTGTTTCAAACCTTCCAAAATGAACTAAAGCCATCAAGAGACTGTGAAGAAACAGTTACTATAACTTCATGCTCAAAGTTTCTACTGTGTTGAAGATATATAGATACAGGTTGAACTGGGGTTGGCCTATGCTTTCACGTATTACCAGTTTGTAATTCTAGAATTCAAACTAAGCCATTAGGAGCACATTGCTTTTTAAAATGGCAGCATAACAAAGCCTCAATAAGGAAATAGGTGTAGCTAGTTAAAGTTAAAAAAAGCAGCAGTACACACCCAAAAACATCTAAACACATAACAGTAATTAGATTTTGCAGATGGTAATTGCATAAAGTACCTTTAAAGGTATTGTTCAACATCCTGTTAAAAAGTCAGATTAATGCTACTTTAGCAATTTAGCTAACTAATATCTGGTTAGCTAAAGTGAGCTAAACAACTTGCTAGGCTATGCAGATATTAAAAGATATGAAAATTTTGCCTAATTTTCGAAAAGTCATCTATTTGGCTGTTTTAATTAATAAAACAGTTTTTGTTCTGGTTCCAGACCTAAAGCTAAGCTATGCTAATCACTACCTGACTATAGGTCTTATATGGATACGAGTGTTAGTGATTTCGTCGTCATAGCGAGAAACTAAAGAAGCGTATTCCCCAAAATGTTTCATTTTTTCTTTTATATCTTTTTTGTAATAATTTACTCATAGCTGAAGCTAATTCCAACATTAAAAGAAGTAATCTTTTCCCATCTTGCGTTAATGTTCTGTTCATCTTTCCTTTTTCTTCCCCCTTTGATTGCTTCTCCTCTTCCTCTCAGCACCAGCATTTGCATTCCGAGGAAGCAGTCGAAGGACATGAAGCTAATGTTTCACAAGGCAGTGAAAAAAATCTCGCACGTCCGTGTCGTGACGCAGCTCTACATGCAAGAAGACGACGACAACGTCATGATGACGCATCACTGAATGACCTGTAACTCATGACTTTGCCTCAACTGGACACCGGACAGTATCTCCAGCCTCCGCGCTATTCCAGTGGGGAAGAGCAATAGAGAAAATGGATACGATTACCATCTTGAACCTCCAGGGACATAAAACATGAAACTCTTTATATCCTCACTAAAATTTGATGGTGATTTTCCACAGAGGGCAGTTGACAGGAGGAGGATGTGGCTAGTGAAAGTATCATTTCAGATTGTGTTTAAGTCTGTGTGCATTAGCGGCTTGAGCCAGGAGATGTAGTCCAATATGGAGCTATGAATAGAGGCCAGCAAGTCTAGACTCAGCAAAGCAGGGATCTGCAGAAGCTGTCTGTCAGCAGCTGAGGGGCAGAGCTAATCCAAACATCCCATTCCTTGGTTTCTGTCTGAAGGAGGAAGAGATGAGGAGAACCCTGCATTTGTATTTGAATAAATACTTATGTTTAGGTACTTGCAGTCCCTACTTGTAATTAGAAAAGTGAAAGGAAGTGAGTCATTGTCAGCAATGGCAGATTATTTGATTTTTTTCAATTTTTTTCCAAAAAATTTTTCCACCAAAATCATATAAAGGTAGTTAAAGGTTAAATCTTAAAAACACTTTTTTTGTTTTACTGCTAATATAAAACCCAAAGATATTAAAGTTACAATAAAAAAACCTAGGAAACACTTGGATTTGGATTATTTTAAATTATTAATTTAATCTTATGTTACAAAGGAAACACTCCTAAAATTAAAAGTCTGGATAAGGAGCAATGGTGATTCTGTAGTGTGTTGGTGCCCCTCCAACCAATGTGTACCACCATTAGCTTATAAAAAGAATAACCTACAAAAGAGTTCAGAGGCAGCTTTTATTACTTAACTACAAAAAGATATTGCCCATGTTAGCTGATTTTACCCTTCAAATCACCAATTACTGGTGTCTTAAATAATGTGAGGTAAAACTTTACTAATGCTTATTGCAGTACCAATGCCCACCTCCAACATCTGGTTTACCTTCGGTTACTAGAGCACACACAGAAAAGATTATTGGCCCTCATAAACAGTAATTTCTAATATGGACAATATGCTTGGTAGAAACTGAATGTAAACCACTGAACCAACATCATTTGACCAGATTATTTTAAATTGAATGTTTTACATTATACATTTCTAATAAAAAATTACATATACTCAAATTGCTTAAAGTCAACATTTTGGGCATAAATATTGTTTTGAGTGTGGTGATTGCAATGATGCTGCATGTAGTTTTTAAAGGTAAATGTCTACGTTAGTTAAGTCAAGCACTGCCTTAGTTGTTACGATCAGTTTTAATCTATGCAGGGTTCACTATGTTGGCATGCACTACTTCTTCTTCTGAGATTTTCCATCTTGAAGCTGTTTCCCTTTGTTTACCAGAGTTTTCCTGAAATAAATGTTACATATGTTTGTTCAAGTTCAGTTTACAGTTTAATTTGTGGTCATATCTAAAACCAGTGTTAACTGGACTTTTATCTATCACATTTGTATAACCCAGTGACTCCAATAAAGTTTTTATGGCTTCTAAATAGGTACATACACTATATTTCCAAAAGTATTCATTTGTCTGCCTTCACAGGAATATGAATTCGAGGGACACCTCATCCTGAATACAGGGTTTACTATGATCATAGCCTTTGTACCTGTAACAGCTTCAGCTCTTCTAGGAAGACTTTAAACAAGGTTTTGGAGTGTTTATGGGAAGTTTTCCTGGCTCACAGTCTCCACTTTAATTCATCCTAAAGGTGTTGAGGTCAGGACTCTGTGCAGGCCAGTCAAGTTCTTCCACACAAACTCGCTCATCTATGTCTTTATGGACCTTGCTTTGAGCACTGGAACACAGTGGAACAGAAAGGGCCCACCCCAAACTATTCCCACAAAGTTGGGAGTACGAAAAATGTCTCAGTGTGCTTATCTGTTAAGAGTTTCTTTTACTGGAACTACTCCCGAAAAACAACCCCACACCATAATACCCCTTCGGCCAAACTTTGCACTTGACACAATGCAGTCAGATGAGTACATCTCCACTGCTCTAGAGTCCAGTGTATGCATGCCATACACCCCTGCATCCAACTTATTGATGAGGTCTACAAAGTTAGAGACGATATCGAGGTTGGGTGGTGGTGCTTGTTGGCTGGGTATGCAGGAGCTGTCAGCTGTAAAGTCTGTGAGGAGAACTGTCACTATCCTGAATGCACAATGGCCTGGAAACCATAAAGACCTGGATGGCCGCTAACTTTCTGCTTCTTAATTCAGATAAAACTGAGGTTATTGTACTCGGCCCTGAAAATCTTAGAAATATGGTATCTAACCAGACTCTTACTCTGGATGGCATTACCTTGGCCTCCAGTAATGCTAAGCCTTGTATGAAGCTCCTTGGCCATGGAAACCTATTCTATGAAGCTCTCTACACACTGTTCTTGAGCTAATCCAAAGGCCACATGAAGTTTGGAGGTCTGTAGCATTTAACTCTATAGTGAGTTGCCAACCTCTACACACTATGCACCTCAGCATCTACTCACACTGCTCTGTGAGTTTTGGTATATCCTGCCCACACAGGAAATCGCTCTGTCAATCAGTGACATATGTGTTTTTAAACAAGCCTACAGTGCCCTCTAGTGGCCCACTGTAGCATAAACTCAAAGGGTTTTTAAGCGATAGTACAGATGGTGTCCTGGAGGCTTTGAAGGATTATCCTTGCTCAGCCTCACTGTGCATGTGTGGTCTAAAATCCATAAATTGTTAGACAGCTTGCCACTCCCACTTCTTTACACACACACACACACACACACACACACACACACACACACACACACACACACACACGTCACTATAATCACTCTACAGCAGGAGTTCCTGACATTCATGGTTTGAATACAGTCATATGATGTATGACTGTATGTTATGGTTTGGGGCTGCATCTCAGCCAGTGGTGTTGAGGATCTTGTTGAATTTGATTCAATTATAAATGGATCTGGAAAGTGCCTAGTTGGCTGCGGCTTCATTTTTCGACATGACAATGATCCCAAATACACTGGCAGAGCAGTGACAGCATACCTGGATAGAAAAACACACAGTGAAACAGCATCAGTCATGGATTGAAGCCCAGACCTCAATATTATTGAAGCAGTGTGGGATCTAAGGCATCCAACATCCAGAAACCTGGAGAACTATTCCTCAAGGCTGCTTAAAAAAAATAGAAGAAATCTTCACCAAGAGAGTTCAGGCTGTGTTGAAAAATAAAGGTGGTCATACCAAATACTGACTTTCAATCTGGTTACAATTGTAAACTCTGCTTTTACCCTATATACTACACTTTCCATGTGATTTTTCCGTATATTCCTGCATGTATTTTACATTTTGATAGAAAAATATAAAGAAATAAGGTGTGGCAGAAGACTTTTGCGCAGTACCAGTATCAGAATTACTTCACAGCGTTGGTAACATGCCCCAGATTGTCCCACACAAGCACACCCTTCCACCTACATTTACTTTTTTGATATCTGGTGAGCCAATCTCTGCAGTTCTTTGAAACTTCATAGGCAGTGGTTAGCTTTGCTAATACATCACAAAAAATCACAAAAAGTACTAATATGATTTTTTCAGTAAATGAAAAGTCGGTGTATCACCACAGTTCTTACAACGGATCCAAAATGAGAAAACAAATGCACAAAATGTAATAATTTTATCTCAATTTATCTCGAGTACTTTTACCGACCTACACTTCCAGCTGGTTTCTTGTACTCATCAGGCTTTTTGAGTATCAGTGGCTCAAAACCTTTGGACTGAGCTGCTGTCACCCCTTCATTTTATTGATTTAGATTAGAGGAGGGAACCACCAGACACCCCACAGTATATTATCACAATACTTCACTGTGATTAGATAGTGATTCTTAACATTTTGCAACATGCTGAGCATTGAAATAACATGTATTGTGATTTATCACATTGTTTTTTAAACTGTAAATTTTGTCTGTTTTATCCAATAAGATTACGTTATCTGACTTCATTTCACTTCAGTAACGGTGACAAATCTTGAAAAATCCCAATCTGTAGCGGTCTTCATAGCTCATACATTCTGTAGGAATAAAACCAGCTGGCAGCCAGTTGAGTCGAGTCGCTTCAAGTTGTTCTCATCAATATAAGGCTCTTTCAGGCTGATGAAATCATGTTGGAATCTGTGACTGCAGTCAGCCTGAGTCAGACTGCAACTGTTTGCAGAAAGCTTGCCTCCTGTCAAGCGACCTTTGCAATCACCTTGCAGTCAAAAGTGGTTGTGAGTGCGCAACACCCTCAAGCTCTGGGTAACCTGAATTCGAAAGTAGCTTCGTCAACCTAAGTGTGTCCAGTGCAGTTTTTTTGTTTGAGTCGGTTTAATGTAAGTTTTTCTTGGTGTCTGATGTTGTATTGTTCATGTATGCATGTGTGTTTTCGATTCCTCCATCAGACAGCGAAGACTACCCGGCATGCTGCTGTTATATACCAGGCTATAGAGCTGCTGATTACAGCCGTATCAGAGGATTTACACGGTTTGTGTAAATCCTCAGTTTGTTTGTGGGGGACGGAGGCGTTTTTATAGATTATGGTATAGTAATATAGAATGAGGAGAGATGTGGATTGGAAAGATTAGAGGACACTGAGGAATGGGAGATGGTCAGATTACCAGGACCAGACCAGGATTAGTCATGTAATGGGCCCATCTACTGCATCTATCATGCAGTAGATGGTTGCTGAAAGCTATGATTGTTGAGAACTATGATTTGGTAGAAGCCACGTCATGTTAAGTTTAAATATATATATAGAATACAATGAAATCCTTGAATCCAGAGGGATATTTTCAGAATAATAATGGATTGGATTTATATAGCGCTTTTCAAGGCACCCAAAGCGCTTTACAATACCACTATTGATTCACTCTCACATTCATACACTGGTGGAGGCAGCTACAGTTGTAGCCACAGCTGCCCTGGGGCAGACTGACAGAGGCGAGGCTGCCATATAGCGCCATCGGCCCCTCTGGCTAACACCAGTAGGCAAGTAGGGTAAAGTGTCTTGCCCAGGGACACAACGACCAGGACAGAGAGCCCAGGGATCGAACCGGCGACCTTCCGGTTACAGATGCGATTCCCAACCCCCTGAGCCACAGTCGCCCAGAAACCTTAAATATAAATAAAAACTAGAGTTCAAATAATATGTCAGAAAATAATTAGTGTAATAATAATTCAGGGATCCACATAATCTCCTGTTTGTGTTCACAGTACTGAGGATTGAACTTAATCCGTTATCTGCGCTCAAAGGTGCCACAACTCTTTTGCGGAAACGGTGTGATCTCACTTTGATAGTAACACGCATTAATCATCTGCAGCTCAACGTGGCAAAGACCAAGGAACTGATCGTGGACTTCAGGAAGACCAGGAAACACTTGACCCCTGTTTCAATCCAGGGGGTCAGTGTGGACATTGTGGAGGACTATAAATACCTCAAAGTATACACTGACAAACTGGACTGGGCTAAAAACACCACAGCACTTTACAGGAAGGGCCAGAGTCGTCTCTATTTTTTGAGGCGACTGAGGTCCTTCAACATCTGCCAGAAAATGCTGAGGATTTTCTACGAGTCTGTTGTGGCCAGTGCGATCCTCTATGCTGTTGCATGCTGGGGGAGCAGGCTGAGGGTCGCAGATGCCAACAGACTCAATAAACTGATCCGTAAGGCCAGCAATGTTGTGGGGATGGAGCTGGACTCCCTCAAGGTGGTGTCGGAGAGGCGGATGCTGTCCAAGATAAAGACAATGTTGGATAACACCTCCCACCCACTCCATGACATGCTGGTCAGTCACAGGAGCTCGTTCAGTGAGAGACTGAGATTACCGAAAAGCACCACTGAACGACACAGGAAATCATTCCTGCCTGTGGCCATCTCCCTGTACAACGCATCCACTTAACACACTGGTTACTGCTACAGCTACACATGTTTCTTTTCCAACTATTTATTTATGAGTGACTTATGTATGTATATATATATATGTATATATTGTACTATTCTTAGTTAATGTATTGTCTGTCTTGTCTTAATGTTGGTTTATAATGGAGCACTGTAACAAAAAATAATTTCCCCCAGGGATCGATAAAGTATTCTGATTCTGATTAACACCAAGAAGCTTCACTTCCCCCAGGGAAATTTATCTCACAGGGTAACTGACATCAGGTCAGTGAAAATCCTGCAAAACATTGAGCAAAAGCATGGAAATGTGGAACAGAGGGATGTTTGGGGAAAAAGACAACAGTTTGGACAACAGTGTGATTCCAAAGAAGCAACAATTTGTCTGTTGAGAATGGTCAAAGTCATAGACACACACTGGTTTGTAAAGTGTCTGTTAGCACTAGCAGGAGCCTTTTGTGAATAATATGTGATGTAGCACAGGAAAGGCTGCTGAAGATCAAGTGCAACCAGACTCAGTAATATTTCCAGTGTCTGTTATCTGAAGTTCCCCATCTGCAAAAATCTCTTAGAATGTCTGAAAAATGTTTTGTTTTTGT